GCAAGGACGGCAGCGGCAAATTGTTTCCGGCGACAGTAAGGTGGCGGCTAGGGTGGTGGCAATACTTGGTTGTGGTTGCGGTGTTTAATCAAACAAGAAGGGAATATAGGACGGCGTGAGATTGAGAGTACAGTAAAGAGTTTTCTGATTTTTGGTGTGAGGAATTTGTGAAGGGTTGAGGGTCTATTGATAGTGTTTAAGGGTGGAAAAGATAGAGTTCAATAAGGTATAGGATTAGTGTGAAAACTAGATAAGTTTGGTTAGTTAAATGAACTTGAATGTCATTTAGCCTAGATTAATTTATGTGAAAAAAATGAAAGATATTGGAGGACAAAGTAAGATAGGTGTTAATTGGTTAGAGAAATAAGATAGAAGATAAATTAGGAGATTATATCACTTAAGGAATTAAGGTTGAAGATAACCATCCATTCGGGGTATTACAACGTTGGCCACCCATTCGGGGTATTTGGATACCCTGATAAAACCTGCAGTTATTTATTTTTGAAATTCTTCTTTTATTTTAAGAGCTACGTCGGGTTTCATTCGACGCAACTTTTGTTTTACAGGTTTCATTCCTGGAATTAGTGGTATGGTGTGTTAAGCTATTTCTCTATTAATACCTGGCAAATCTTCATATGACCAAGAAAATACATCGATAAATTCTTTAAGTAGATTAATCAAATCAGTTCTTTCTTGTTCATTAAGTGTTAATCCGATTTTAATCTCTTTTAACGGTTGAATCATTTGATATATCAACCGTCTCAGTTTCCTCAATTATCGGTGTTTCTTTTCAAGTGTTTCCATTGCTTTAATAATTTCTTTGTCATTTTCATTGTTAGCTAAGCAATGCTCGTCATCTTGGGTTAAAGAAAAACATGAGGAGTAAGCAGAAGAAGACATATTATTGAATTCGGAAATCATTACATCAAAAAGGGAAATGTCCTGAGGGACTTGATTGCTAACTATCCTAGGAGTAGAAATAGAAGAAGGAGGGGGTGCTACGACTAAAGACTTGGATGACTCTACAGGAAAAGACTCTAACTCTGAATCTGACTTAGACGTTTCTTCGAACATCGGTCCTTGTCCTGTTGTTATGGAGATTTTCCTTCCACTTGGAGTAGTCATATTGACCGTCTTGCACCACCCTTGTACTGATCCTTCTGCTGAAGTGATGAGCTTTGAAGGGTCAAAGTTCTCGCTTTGTAGGACCGTCAGGATGAGCGAGGAGTTATCCTCTATGTATCTCGGCTCAACTTTTTCTCGCCCAAATAATAATCCCATGATATCAAAGTCAAAGCATGGGGGTGCTTTCTCCTTGTGGATAGGTGTTGGGATTTCATCTAGAAAGTAGCAATCTAAGAAAATTTCGAATCCCGGTTGCTTTATGCCATTTACACTAAAAGGTTCGGGAAATTCATACCATAGATAGTCCTCTCCTTCTTTTATGAATTGTCCATTGAGAGTAAGAGGATACTGATCCATTTGGATGCGAGCGTTCCTACGCGCCTTAGACCTTTCCTGGGCTCGCTTAAGATCTTCTCGAGTCGGTTCTAAACCAAGTCCGAAAGTATCTAACTTAGGGAGGCTAGGTAATTCGATCTGTTTTGCTATCTCTTTCTTCTTTCCTAGAGTCATTCCAGGAAAACGCCCTTGTCTCTTAAGAATAGCATTTACTATCATATTGAAGTAAGGGTCGTGACAGAGAGGGGTCTTTTCATCCTCCTCGATTAAGGAGACCTCTTCATTAAAGCCCCACAAGTCATTATCATCTTCATCGTGATCCACATTAATGATCGGATTTTCCACAGTTTTAATCCTTATGGATGAAGCATCGGTTGTAATAGGGATTCCTCCAACTATGGCTTTTACCTGTTGGTGAATATATGAAGGGATGACCTTGAGGTCATGAAGCCAAGGGCTTCCCAATAATAAGTTGAATGAAGCCTTAATATCTACCACTTGGAAGGTAGTAGCATGTTCTATTGCTCCCGCCGTTATATTCATAGTAATCTTACCAAGAGCTTGGCGACGAGTGTTGTCATAAGCTCTTATTCCTTGCGTTGACGGGGTTAAGTCTTCATCCCTCATGCCTAACATCCTCGCAGTTATGAGGGGACAGACATTAATCGCCGATCCATTGTCTACAAGGGTCATTGGGACGTTCATTCTCTTGCAAACTATTGTGAGGTTCAGTGCCTTGTAATGTTTGTCACCTCCTGGAGGTAAATCTTTATTAGAAAAGGTGATCTAGTTGATATGACTAGGGAGATCACTCGTAAGGAAATTAGCCAACCCCTCAGGAGTGGTTTCAGAATCTATCCCTATCTTGTCCAAAGCATTCATTACTGCCAACCTATGTTCTCTAGACGTAGATAGGAGTTTCCATACATTCATCTTGACCTTGGTCTTTTTGAATTGCTTGACAATATCATTGTCTTCTATGATAGGTGTGGGAACTTGCTGCGTAGTTGGTATAGGTTGTGTAGAGACGGAAGGTTGCGTTCTCCCAGATCTTGTAAGGACGTCTATTGTTGAATCTTCTTCATCCCAAAAATTGCTTATTGGATATATGCCTGAAAGTGGAGATTCTTCCATATCCTTAAGATAGACGTCTTCATCATCACTGTCCCAAACCCCATTAATGCTAATATCTTCTTCTTGTGGGATTTGAAATAGCTTCTTATCATCAATCATTTTCTAAATTAAATCATTAAGTTTAAAACAACTTTCAATAGTATGTCCCCCTGATTGATGGTATGGACAATAGAAACTATCTGTCCTCTTTAGAGATTCAAATGGTCTTGGTTAGAGAGGTTTGACCTTACCACTCTCGGAGAGCATTTGGAACATTTTAGCATAAGTAGTCACAATTGGAGTATAGAGTTTGTTACTCTTCTTGGGTCTGTCAATTACTTGTAGAGGGAATGTTTTCTTCTTTGTGGGTGGAATTTTATAATACTTTCTCTGAAGCTCCTTCGGTTGTTTCTTTGCAAATTCAAGAGCCTCACATAGTAAGTCTGTTCCTTCCCACATGGACCATATAAGCATTTGCACGTCTTCCTTGCTTGCTATTTCTGGAAAGTCATCTATGGCATTGAAAAAGATTTCCTCCTCTTCTTCGATAACATGAATTTCCTCAATGGGTTTGATGAGGGATGAGGAATCAACCTCGTTTTCCTCATCGAAGATGGCCAAGGAATGAGAGAGAGGTGAGTTGTTAATGCTTGGCTTCTTACTAGGGCAATGGTAGTTTGTTGTTATCAATTAAATCTTGGTTAGCTTCTTTAAGCTTCCAACAATTCTCAGTAAGATGGCCCCTACCTTGGTGATATTTGCAGTATGCATTGGGGTTCCAATTAGCTGTCCTGTTTTCAACATGTGGGTCCCCAAATGGTCCAATAGGAGTTATAAGACCTTTTGCATTCAGTCGGTCAAATGCGGTGTCATAACTCATACCAATAGGAGTAAAGTTTCTCCTAAATGGTATCTTTTATCCTTGGTTGTTCATAGCAAGGACTTCACTCAAATTAAAGGTGCTAACATTGTTTGAGTGAGTGGTTTTAAAAGAAGAAGGATTGTCGTTCTTCTTGCCTTTCCAGCCACTATTGGAGTTATTATTAGCAGCTTTTAGCTTAGCAAGGTCGTCTTCAATGTTAATTCCAATGTCATAGACGGCCTTGAAGTTGTGTAGATTATTTTGATATTTCAGATGCTTGGGGTACTTCTCTTGAAGGTTCTTGATGAACAACCTCACAGATTCTTTTTAGCTTGGTAATTCAATCATCCTAGCAGAGGTTTCTCTCCATTTATTGAAGAAAGAAGGGAAACCTTCATTCTCTTTCTGCTTAAGTATTTTAAGTTTTCTATAATCAGTTTCAACTTGAATATTGCACTTGTACATATCAATGAAAGCGTTTACTATTGCCTCCCAATTAAAGGTTTTCTCTTTGTTAAGGGAGAAGAACCATTGTTGGCAAACGATTTCAAGAGATAAGGAGAATAAAGAAGGAAATAATTTTTTATCAATACCCTTAATAATCATTATTGTTTCAAAAGCTCTTAGTGTAGGGGATTATAGGTACTAAATTGCGGAAATATATGAATCATATTCATAAAGCACCTAAACCAAGGATCTCATGCATAACACATAAAGAAGTAAGAATTATACCTTTGAAGCGTGATTCCACAGGTGATCGAACAAGAACAATAAGGAGAACAAGAACCCCACGTATGATTCCTCTACTTATTCCACGAGCACGGATTAAACCTCCACTAATGCTAGTTAATTGTGACTGAACACTTCAATCAAACCTCAACGGAGATTTGAGCAACGAACGCACCACAACACCACCCACTCGCCACCCACGAGGGAGGGCCGTACGGACAGGGAGGAGAGAGAGAGGGCAGAGTAGTGAGAGAGAGAGAGAGTTAGGGTTTTGGAAAGCTTGGTTGCTTGTGTAACAATTTACTATATGTCAACTATTGTATCATGCAACCCTAGGCATGGTTTATATTTATAGATCATATCTAGAAATAAAACCATGTCAAGCCCAAAACCCATTAGACTCTTCTAACTATCCAAGCTCAACTATCAATATGGTATGTCATGAACTCATGAGGCCCAATAATTAGGGCTGGCAAAAACTGACCCGACTCGAAAACTCGACCCGAACCCGATCCGAAAAAAGCGGGTTAGGTTGAGATTTTTGACCCGAAAACTTAAATGGGTCGACACGAACCCGAACCCGAAATTAAATGGGTTAGGTTAAGGTAGAAAATCTCAACCCGAAACGACCCACTTAACCCGAAATAAATTTCAGGTCATAATCAGGTCGGGTCAACCCGAACCCGACCTGATAACCCGAATTAGTTTAAGTTTAAAAAAAACGTAAAAAGCTTTTATTAGCCCAGCCCAAATGCACAAAGAGGCTTCCTATATAAATTCAAAACCCTAAAATAATCTCATTTCCCCTCACCTCTTCAGCCGTTTTTCCCCTCACTTCTCTCTCTTTAATTTTCTCTCTCCTCAAAAACTCATTATATTGTTGAATTTTCTCTTTAATTTCCTTCAGCCATTTACCATTGTCAATTTGTTATCTCCTTCATGGCTTGACTCCTTCACTCCTCCACAACACGCGTTCCTTAATTCTTCTCCTTCATCAATCAAGGTATCTTGCTTCTTAATTTATTTTCTGTTTCTTTTTTCGTGTTTTTACATGCTATTTTTGTTTATTTTCATATTCTTTTGTTGTTAATTTTATAATTACCTGCTTTCGTTTATTTTGTTTTTTTACATGCTAATTTTCGAGTGTTATTACTAACATATGATGTTAAATGTTGTTGTTTATGTTATAATACGGTTGTTTTTGCTAATTTTCGAATGTAATGCTAATTTTATTGTTAAATGTTGTTTATGTAATGGTGATTCTTGTTATTTTTTGTTTTTCATGAGCATGCATGTTTTTAATTTAGATCTTACTAGTTAGATCTAGACAATCTAGTCTGATTTAGATTATTATCATGTTTTAATTATATTAGTGTTATTTTTCTTTATAGGTTTGGCAGCAAGAAGTAATCACCCATGTTCAATTGGAAATGTTGTGGATCAATTTTAAAGCTTGAGGTGGTGAACAAGGATGACAACCATGATAAATTGACACTCTTAACATCGCCCGATCTTAATCCAAATGAAAATCTTATTGCATCTTCTATTATTTTTGAGAACTGTAATTTGTGTTAAAAAAACTTTTGTCTTTTGAAACTTGGTTTGTAATTAGTGAATTGCACTTTTTATCGGTTTATAATCGTTAATTAGGATTGTTACTTTGTTAGACTATGCCATTTAATTTTGGTTTGAATTAAAACGCTTAACCTCTGAACAACTTGTGTTTGAAATGAAAAAAAAGTTAATTCAGGTCAATTTTGGGTTAACCCGAACCTGAATATATCAGGTTTGGGTCGGGTCAAGTTCAGGTCAAAGAAGCTTGATTTTAATCCAAATAAAAAATCAGGTCAAGTAAGGTCAATTTTGAGTTGACCCGAACCTGAAAATATCAGGTTCAGGTTGGGGTTTTCAACCCGAAAAGTTAAATGGATCAGGTTTGGGTTGGGGGGTAGCTGACCCGATATTAGGTGACCCAAACACGAACCCGACCCGACCTGATCCGTTTGCCAGCCCTACCAAAAATGGGCCTCTAACTTGTTTAACCCAATACTCTTATGTGTAACCTTGTAGGATCCATTCTATAAGGCTTTGGGCTATTAAGTTAGCCTAAAGATCAATTGTCATATCTAGCACCAAACATTGACAACCCTATAGAATGAACTAATTATCTCCATAATCGTGATCCTTGATATACCTAGTAATTGCACTTATCGAAGACATAACTCTTTCAATCTCCCACTTGTCTGAGACAAGTGCGCAATACTCAAATTCCTTAAGTCAATGTGTGTCGATTTTATAATATGATTGCATCTCATGTCGTGATCATATTAATCTAAAAACCTTTTCTTGAAATACTGAGTTAGATTCACAGAACAAATGATTACTATGTAATGCATTTAAGCACGTCCATGCATTTTCTGAATTCTCCCTCTTCAAGGGGCCAAGACACATTCCTAATTAAATAGGTAGACTCAATTCAATCTTGTGGCAACCAAAGCTCCCAGTCAACTCATGAAGCAACCGGGAAACACCCTTTATAATCCCCAGTTACAGCTGGACGTTTGAGTGTACCACAGTTAAATCAATCATTGAATGGAATTAGTGTTCCACTCATGTCAAAGGAATCCACTAATATATTTGGAAGTTCTATACTTGAACTTCAAAGTAGGTCAATAGTTCGATCATGCATCATTCATGCATATCCATGTGATTGACCGAGCATCATCACTATGCTCCTATAGCCCATGAAACTGCACTATCTAATCAATTTTACATGCTAGTTCAATTTAAGAATATGTCCAGTTTAATGATTTTGAACTAGGAACTTAAATAATATATGGATTTTGTTCACTTGTGGGGTTTCATTCATCAGGTCATCAACCTGATGAGCCCATCAATCCATAATTATTTTGGACATTTTATTTAATATCGAAAACCATCATTAAATAAGAGAAATAATAAAATTTCTGATTAAACATAATTATGCAAATGAGTGTATTACATATGTAACTTATTTTTCTCCAAAAATAAATACAACTTCTAATTGCATCATTTGCCTCAATCCAGATTCACTAGCATGTTTCTCATGCTTTGGAAGTGGAAGGGGTTTAGTAAGTGGATCAGCAATGTTCTCATCCGTATGAATTTTTCACATCTTTACATCTCCTCTGTCAACGATCTCTCGAATAAGGTGATATTTCCTCTCTACATGTTTGGATTTGAAGTGTGACCTAGGCTCCTTTGATTGGGCAACGGTGCCATTATTATCACAATACAACTCGATTCCCTTTTGAGCACTTGGTATGACATCCAGCTCAGTTCGGAACTTCTTAATCCAAACTGCTTCCTTAGCTGCTTCAACAGCAGCTAAATATTCTGATTCTGTTGTAGAGTCTGCGACAGTGCTTTGCTTTGAACTCTTCCAGCTCTGCTCCTCCATTCAGATAGAAAATGTATCCAAATTCTGATCTGAAATCATCTCTATCTGTTTGGAAACTCGCATCTGTATAACCTTTGACAACCAGCTCATCTTCGCCACCATATACTAGAAACATTCCTTTAGTCCTTCTCAAGTACTTAAGGATGTTCTTGGCAACTATCCAGTGTGCTTCTCCTGGATTTTCCTGATACTTGCTACACATACTCAGAGCATATGCAATATCCGGCCTTGTACATATCATGGCATACATGATTGACCCTATCGCCGAAGCACAAGGTTTATCAACAATACGTCTCATCTCTTCTAGCGTGCTAGGGAATTGAGATTTACTGAGCGTAATGCCATGAGACATGGGGAGAAATCCTCTCTTAGAGTCTTTCATGGAATACCTATCAAGAATCTTATCAATATAAGTTTCTTGACTTAATCCAATTATCCTTCCAGATCTGTCTCGATGGATCTTGATCCCCAATATGTATTCAGCCTCACCTAAGTCCTTCATGGAAAAACAACTCTTCAACCATTCCTTGACTGACTCAAGCATTGGTATGTCATTTCCCATGAGTAGTATGTCATCTACATACAAGACTAAGAAAACAATGCTGCTCCCACTAGACTTCTTGTATACATAAGGTTCCTCTTCACTTTTGACAAAATCAAACTGTTTGATTGCTTTATCAAAGCGAAGATTCCAACTCCTAGATGCTTGCTTCAATCCATAAATGGATTTCTGAAGTTTGCATACCTTTCTAGGATTTTCTTGATCTTCAAAACCCTTAGGTTGTATCATATACACTTCCTCCATCAAGAACCCATTCAAGAAGGCAGTTTTGACATCCATCTGCCAAATTTCGTAATCGAAAAATGCAGCAATCGCTAAAAGAATCCGAATGGACTTAAGCATAGCTACTGGTGAAAAGGTTTCATCATAGTCAATACCATGAATCTATTTGTATCCTTTTGCAACCAGTCTTGCTTTATAGATGTAGGCATTTCCATCTTTGTCTGTTTTAATCTTGTAAACCCATTTGCAACCAATAGGTTTTACCCCATCAGGAAAGTCAACTAGGGTCCACACTTCATTTTCAAACATTGATTCCATTTCAGACTTCATGGCCTCAAGCCATTTATCTGAGTTGGGGCTCGCCAAAGCTTGCTTGTAGGTTGTAGGTTCTTCATTCTCCAATAAGAAGATTTCATAATCCTCAGTTATCAGAACCTCAACAAACTGTTTGTTTATGATTCTGGCAGACCTACGTGGGGTAGGAGCAACAATAGAAATATTCTCCCTAACTCCTTGAAGATTTTCGCATGAACTAGATTCAAGTGGGACGATAAGAGTCTCGCTAGTCGTATTAGCTTTCTCCGATGCAAGATAAATCGACTCATGTGCCCTCGCCTCTGATGTGGTGTTATCAACATCCATTTGTTGCTCGTCTCGAATTTCTTCGAGAACCCCTTTACTCCCACTTGGCTTTCTAGACAAGAATTCCTTTTCTAGAAAGACATCATCGCGAGCAACAAACACTTTCTTATCTTCGCGATTGTAGAAGTAATACCCTCTTGTTTCTTTTGGATAGCCCATAAAGAAACACTTATCTGATTTAGGGTGTAGTTTATCACCTTGTAAAAGTTTAACATAGGCTTCACATCCCCAAATCTTGAGAAAAGACAACTTTGGAGCTCTTCCATTCCACATCTCATATGGAGTCTTTTCAACTGCTTTGGACGGGCTTCTATTTAGTATTCTCGCAGCTGCTTCTAATGCATATCCCTAGAATGATATGTGAAGATCAGTAAAGCTCATCATGGACCGAACCATGTCTAGTAAGGTCTTATTCCTCATTTCTAACACACCATTCAACTGTGGCGTTCCTGAAGGAGTTAACTGTGAAAGTATTCCTCAACTAATCAGATGTTCGTCAAATTCTTGGGTCAAATATTCACCACCACGATGGAATTTTGTACCTCATTATGGAATTCTTTGAACTTTTCAAAGGATTCCGACTTGTTCTTCATTAAGTAAACATAACCATATCTACTTAAATCATCAGTAAAAGTAATGAAGTAATTAAACCCACCCCTTGCTTTAGCACTCATTGGTCCACACACATCCGTATGTATGAGTCCTAAAAGGTCACTAGCTCTTTCACCTATACCCGTGAAGGGTGATTTAGTCATTTTCCCAAGCAAGCATGACTCACAATTTTCAAATGATTCATAATCAAAAGAAGAAAGGATTCCATCCTTATGTAATTTCTGGATGCACTTTTAGTTGATGTGACCAAGCCTACAGTGCCATAGGTAAGTTGGGTTTGAACCATCTGTTTTCTACTTTTTATGATCAATATTGTAGATATGAGTTGTATATTCTAAGACATACAAACCATTAATTAACTTTGCGTTAGCATATAACATATTTTCTTTCGAAATAAAACAACATTTGTCTCTTATTTCAAATGAAAATCCTTCAGAATCTAAAACAGGAACTGAAATAATGTTTTTAGTTATTGTTGGTACATAATAACAGTTATTAAGCACCAAAATAAGTCCAGAGGGAAGTTTTAAGTGATAACTTCAGAAAGTGCAGCAACTTTTGCTCCATTTCCTACTCAAAGCGTTACTTCCCCTTTTTCTAACTTCTTACTTTCTCTCAAGCCCTGCACGTTATTAACGATGTGAGCACCACAACCGGTATCAAATACCCAAGTAGAAGTTGAAGTAAGGTTAATTTCTACTACAAAAACATCAAGTAACTCTTTACCTTCTGTTTTCACTGGTGTATAGAGGGGACACCCTGGTGTATGGCATGGCCAACTACCGCAAAAGAAGCATTTGCTTCCTCTCCTTTTCAGGAACTCCTCAACATGGTTAATCAACATATTGATCAATGTCACCGACGATCCCTCATCATTATGAGTGACCTTGACAATGTCAAAACCATCATGGAGTGAGAACAAGATAATATCATGTGCAGAGTCATCATCGATCGGTTTCCCAAGGACATCCATCTGATTGAACATTTCAATCAGTTCCCTGACGTGGGCCCTAACTGACTGACCAATCATGAGTCATTTAGACATTATCTTATAATGAACATTGTAAGCCTCATACTTAACGCTGTCAGTCCAGGAATAGTATATCTAAGGGATCGAGTTAACGACCTCTCTTACATTATGATCTTTGAAGCCTCCACTTCCTAATGCCCTAATGCCACCT